CAGAAGCAACTTTATTAGTAATTACCTTATGGAGCCATAAAATTACCTGAGATCTTCGAAGGGGGGACTCTGGATTTTGTACTTTTTGCTTCTTGGGAGATTTTGAACATTTTGAAGCTGGAGCCTTCGCAATATGAGATGTTGAACCTTTTGTTATAGCTTTTGGACCTGTCAAGTCTGGAGACTTCTCAGCAGGTGAAGTAGAACCTTTTGCTGCAGCTTTTTGAGCTGGTCCTTTCTCAGATGCTTTAGATTTATGAACAGGTGGCTTGTGACCTCTTGCATCCGTGGTCTTTCTAAAACAACTTTACTGACAGGCCATGACACAACGAATTTAAACAGTCTTCTAGGTATGCGATATCATTTGAAGGCCGCCATATGAATGTTCCAGGTTGAATCCGAGTGGAAATCCATTCACCAATACTTCTTTCTCATCTGTATGCCAATAGCTTTCAGCAAGACAACATCATCTGAGGACAAATCCAGTAGTTTGCACTTGTTTAAAGAATCCTGTCAAATATGCATAAACAATCTATCAATTATGTTCACCAATTAATCATCTCTGCAAGTTAATACTATTCACATCAAAGACCATTTAAAATGGCCTAAAGAAATATATATGATCCTGAAAATTAAACTTTACCGTAGGGACAACGTCTGATGGTTTTGCCATCTGATCTTTAAGAACATAGTGCTTGGCAGACCATGCAACAAACTCTCCAATAGCATCCTTAACCATACACATGTTTGTTGCAGGTCTCCCAAGAAAAGCATCTGGTTTGATTACAAACTCAATCAATACTTTTACATCTGTAGGTCCTAATGGAGCACGATTAACTAATTCAGTGGGAGAAGAAGGAATTATACGCCCCTCAGCAACAGGTTCACCAGTACCCTCCCAATCAATCACCACACACTTTGGGTGTGATCCTTTGTTCACACTCTACAACAGGTTGTTAGAGTAATATGTTAGAAATTGCAAATGATCAGTAAAACTATTTTGAACTAGATTACTTACTTTTACAGCTGAGTTTTCTCCGACTTTAAGTTCTAGTTTCTGAAACATGAAAAAAAAATGTCAAATAGATGTATTAATTACGAGGCTGATTATTAAAGAAATAGTGAGGTTGTGACCTGTTTCTTCAGTACATCAACTTCATTTTGCAACGCATCAACCTTTTTCTGTAAATTCACTTGCTTCACTTCCATCTCAGCCAAACACGTTTGCTTCACTTGAAAACATGCTAGTTTAGTCTTACTCATAGACCTATCCATTGCTCTCAGCCTACCTGGATTATCAGGTCCTAAAAGCTTGCTTAGTGTATCTTCTCCGATATTTGTTTCAGTTGATGGAACATTCCTAGCAACCAACTCAGCTGCCTTTTTCTGCAAAACAAAGAATCTCGGTGACTCACCCATAGTTTAAACTCACGACCAAAAACGAAACTCTTTACTTATCAGCCTTTACAACTTACAAACTTTTCTGCAGCAACGTCATTCACTGGCGTACCATCTTTTCTGGTACGTGACTTCATCCATACTTTTAGCCTGTCCACTTCAGACGGATCTTCACTATTTTTTTTCTATCACAAAACACAAAAAACGGTTAAGTATATACGACACTTTCTATGTAGTATATTAAGTACACTGATAGATGCATTAGAATATATCAACATATACTTACCAGATCTTCTGTCAATCTCACCATTCCTTTGCGGCTACAAGTGTGTGGAACCTGACTGGCCCTTCTTTTTTGTATGACTCACTCACAACCTGACAGATGAATTGTACTACATAATCAACTATACATCTATCAATCACAGAGTAATTAGTTCCAATTTACATAACTTAAAGGCTGGGCTAGTTTTGACTTTGACAAATTTTTTCTAATCTGTGGGAGAGACATTGGTTGGTCGCAAATACATCCTTTGTTGATTAGTCGTTGCTTTATTAAGCTTAGTTACTAATCGGGATTTGGATGACCTCCAAAGACATCTCATCTGCTTGAAAACAACTATCTTCTGATACGGTTGATCAAGTGCAAATCTCGCCTGCAATCAGTTACCAAAATTCAATAAATATACAAAACAAAACATAAAATACATATATATATATATATATATATATATATATATATATATAAGTCACCAAGATGTAAATGAATAAGATAAGTCACCTGGATAGACCTCCACAGAACTGTTTTCACTTCCTCGCTGATTTTCAACCAACTCTCAACTGTAACAGGGACGTGTTCTCATACCAAGGGCCCTAAATATGATGATAGCTTGACTGAACCAGGACCACAAGGTTCACCTGTGGCTGTGAAGTCAACATATTCTCTGACATTTTTGCGATGTTTCTCATCAAATGTTGGGCCTTTTTTTCTCTTCCGCTTTGGTCCATTCGGAAGATCAGCATCTCCAGAAATTTCAATCTCACCTTCAGGCTCCTCGTTGAACACTCCATCTGCAGCAGATGTCCTTCCGGGCTCATCTTGTCCAGGTTGTGTATCTTCCAAATGCCTTGAGTCTTCCAAATGCTGTGAAACATGCTCCTCTTCTCCAGGTTGTGTATCTTCCAAATGCGTTGAGTCTTCCAAATGCTGTAACATGCTCCTCTTCTCCAGGTTGCTCTAACTCGACGTGATTGAGTTCCACATGACCTACATATTCGGGCTCGTCATCGATAACTGCAGTAACTTTCTTCTTTCTCCCACGATTGCTCTTCTTCTTTCCCATCTTAATTCACCTGCAACAAAAGACAGATCACTTAGTTATAAGACATAGAGAACTTAAGTGTTTCACATCACAGAGATCAATAAACCGACAAGAAGCTAGCAACCAATAAACACCCAATATCCAATCAAATTTTATTCACAGCACAGAGATCAATAGACTCATAAGAAGCTACATTTCAAACATAAATGCCTTCACAATCGGTTCGTGCATTTCCAGCCTCATCCATGTCGACTTCCATGTCAACATTCGAAGGCAGTGGCCCAATATCTGCATTAGAATCCGCAAAATCTTCTTTACTGTATCTTCTTGAAGGTTCTCTCATCACAACATACCAATTTGATGAATCATCTTCCCTTGAGTAAAACACTTGTTTTGCTTGAGAAGCTAAAATGTACGGATCCCTCATAAAAGACACTTGACTCTGATTAAGATTAATTAGAGTGAATCCATCTTCTACCTTTACCCCATTTCCCTTTACTGCCCCATTGACACTTGAATAAAGGAACATAGAAGACATTATTGTCTAGCAATATAATCTCAGTGACTCGCCCATAGTATTCCACCACTGCAGTCACTTGTGACATGTCTTTTGCACTAGATCTACAGATTGCAGTTGCCTCATAATAAACCCCACTGTTCTGACTTTGCCTATGCACTGAAGTCGTGTGAAATCGTTGCCCATTTACTATATAACCTGTGTAGGACCTTGAGCTATTACAAGGACCATATGCTAACCACTTAAGTGTTTCTCCATATCTGTCTGAATCCATAGGTATCTACCAAGTTTAGAGAAAAAAAGTCAGAGACCGAAAAGACGAAAAATTCAATCTCAAAATCAAATTTAAAGTACATTTAACTTGCCTGTTCTTTTAGCCAACCAGCAAAGTTCTGAGTATGTGTACTCCATAACACTGACGCATCACGGTTGCATCTTACATTTGTGTTTTGTAGATGCTGCAGGTGCTCGCTTGTACAACAAAAAGACAAAAAAAAAAAGAATTAAGTCAGTTATACATAGAGGAAATGACAAATGAATGGATTTATGATGGAACTTACTCCACAAATGGGTCTACGACAGCCATATTTTGGATCACAGCAAGGTGAGCTATTTTCTTCTCTGTCTCGGTGAGAATAAATAACTTGCCTGCTGATATCGGACGGCCCTCCAAGATAGAGCTATTCTCATAATCAGTATTCCTATCTAATTTTTCCTCCACATTTGTTGTCTTTTTCAAGAACTCATTACAGAATTGGATACATTCTTCTGCAAGATAAGACTCGGCTATACACCCCTCTGGTCTTGCAGGGTTTCTGACATAATCTTTCAATACTTTCACATACCTGAACGATAAATAAGAATGATCAGTAGCAATCAAAACGAAGAAAATGTAAGAAAACGACAATAAACAATGTTCAATAAATTGTTTACCTCTCAAATGGGTACATCCATGGAAAATGGACAGGACCACCTAATCGGGCTTCCCTTCCTAAATGTACTGTCAAGTGGACCATTATATCAAAGAAGCTCGGTGGAAAAAATCTTTCAAACATGCATAAAGTTTCAACTAACTGAGCTTCCATTCCTGATATCTGAGATACATCAACAACTCGCTGACACAGTTGATTGAAGAATGCGCACAAGCGTATGATGGCTATCCTAGGACCTTTAGGCAATAATCCTCTAAGTGCAACTGGCAGAAGTTGTTGCATCAACACGTGGTAGTCGTGTGATTTAAGTCCTCTTACTTTACAGTCCTCTAAAGATACTGCCCTTGATATATTTGAACAATATCCATCTGGACCTCTAAAATCAAAGAGTCGCTTACAAAAGACTTTCTTCTCTAACTTGGACAAAGACCATGGTGCTGCTGGAAGGTAAGTTCTTTTTCCTTGGATAGTTGGGTGCAAATCTTTCCTAATACCAAGATGTGCAGGTCTTTGCGAGCTTGAAGACCATCTTTAGATTTCCCACAATGCAACAATGTGGAGACAATGCTTGCTGCCACATTTCTCTCTACATGCATTACATCCAAATTATGCCTTACCGGGAGGTCCTAATCAAAAAAAAAAAAAAATTGAGTCAAAACTAAAGTCAAACAAATTAAATGATAAAATCTGATAAAAAGAAGCAATTAAAAACAGAAAAAGAACCTCCCAGTAAGAAATTTGAAAAATATGGACCTTTTCTTCCATCTCAATAACTCCTCTTGATCTACTTCTACTTCTTCCTCTTCCTCGGATTCACTGGAGATATCCTCATCATCAGATTATAAGCGAGTAATCTCCTTCCTTTTTCTTTGCAGATTCCTTCAGATTTCCAAAATCCATTTTGAAATTCTTAAGGGTTTTATAAATCTCATGACCACTTAATATTCTTCCATTTTTCCCATATTCAACCTTTCCATCAAACCAAGCCTTTTTTCCCCGGTAACTGTGAGTTGGTGGCAAACCCTTTCTATGGCACATATACACATGTTTTCTGCTAAACTTTAACCACATACTATCAGTGTTTTTCCCACATAAAGGACAGCCCATTTTGCCCTTTACTTTGCAGCCTGCTAGATTTCCAAAGGCAGGAAAGTCACTAATAGTCCAGAGAAGCATCGCCTTAAGAGTAAAACTAGTTTTACTGTAAGCGTCATATGCTAACTCTCCATTGTTCCACAGATGGTTTAGATCCTCTATGAGGGGCTCTAAATAAACATCAATACTATTACCAGGCTGATGTGGACCAGGGATAAGCAATGTGAGTAAGATATTATCCTCCTTCATGCATAGGTTAGGAGGAAAATTATAATTTACCAACAGCACAGGCCAGCAACTATAAGTATTATTCTTCATGTCAAACAGATTGAATCCATCAGTGGAAAGTCCAAGCCTCAGATTCCTCTCTTCTGCTGCAAAGGATGGGTATTTGTGGTTCATTTGATCCCAAGTCGCAGAATCTACCGGGTGACGCAGTTTTCCATCACTGCTCTTGTTAGTGAAATGCCATCTTAATTCTTTAGCCATCTCCTCAGACCTGAACATCCTTTTCAACCGGGGAATTATCGGAGAATACCGTAGTACTTTTTCTGGAACACCTATCTTTACCTCACCAGTTTGGGTATTAGTCTTCCACCTTGAAGCCTTGCATTTGGGACAACTATCTAAGGTCTTGTACTTCTTTCTATACAGACAACAATCATTTACGCAAGCATGTATCTTTTGATAACCCATATCAAAAGATTTGAAAAAACTTTTTCACATCATACAATGAGGTGTGAAGCACATTATCCTTGGGCAACATCTCCTTTAATGTCTCTAGCAGATCATTAAAGCTCTTGTCGGACCAGCCATTTTGGGTATTCAATCTAAACAGTTTGACAATGGCTGACAGCTTGCTATCGGTTACACAGTTTGGGTATAAAGGAGTTGCAGCATCTGCTAGCTTCGCATAGAAGTCATCTTCCCTCTTATCTTCACCATTGTCATCCTCACATAAGTAATCCTTAATATCATACTCTTCTTCGAAATACTCAACAGCTCTATACAATCCAAAAATCTCATCATTCCATTGATGATTGAAGTTGGTTTCACTTTCAGACTCTGAAATCACTTCCCCATGATGATACCAATACCTAGAAATCTTATAAGCCTCATCCATTCCCCTTGTGACAAGATGCTCTACTACAACTCTACCTGATTGATGAACTATATTTCGACAATCAATACACGGACATATCATCAGATCACTGCAGTCTCCTAATGCAGCAGCCACAGATCGTACAAAATGTCGAGCCCCACTTTCATAAGCAGGATCCGCTCTTCAAACACAGAAATAAATGGGGAAAAAAACTTAAAATCTACAAAATCCCACAGAACCTAACTTATATTGATCAATTTTAATACCTGCTAAAATGTACCCATGCCTTCTCCACCATTATATGTACTAAGTTACGTAAAACCTTTAGTGTGATACACCAATTTAAAACTCAGTATCAAAACAATCGAGAAATATAACAATAGCAGATACTAATCAATATCAAACCAGTAACCAGTAACTCAGTGCCATAACAATGAACAAACAGGAAAATATCAAACAAGTAACTCAATTGCAGAACAATTAAGCAATTACCAATTACCAAGTAACAAAAAATATAGTGAATGATCTGTATATCCAATATTTGAAAGTAACGCTCTTTTACAGCAAATATATAAAGCTCGCAAACGCAATTACATTTATCATAATAATACCATAAACACCAAAAACAAAGCACACAGCCAAATAACTAAACTCATATAACACTTCAAATTGGGATATACGGGGCTAACCTGTGGCCCTGTGATTATGGTAAAGATAAAGCTTCAATTCCAGAAATCTTGCATTGATCAGCACTTGCAAAAGAATAACATGATTTGTATAAGTAAAGAGAATATGCATGCAGTTTAACAGAAACAACTATGAGATATAGAGATAATTAAACGTAAACAGCTACGGCTAAACTCCTAGACGGTGATACACCAAAAAGCAGATAAAAGAGAGATAACAGATCTCGTGCAAACATTCTTTTACTGTCAATTCTGAAAAACCTATGTAAGATCGAAACTTCCTTAAACTGAAGTCACACAGAAACTAAAGTGATGAGTTATGTGAAAATTCCATGCTTTATAAAGTGTAATATATCAATTGCAACTAACAGCGCAGGTTCAAAGTTATGAGTTACATCTATAAACCAAAATTTTCGTTCTTAATCTCCAGTTTCATCAAAATTAGATGGTACATTGTCCACCAACTCGAGGAACAGAGGCATGCAGAGCGAAATAACAAGTACAAAAGACAGATTATCGATTCTAATAAACCCTAGCTTAAATCGAAACTTCCAGAAACAAAAGACAGATTATCGATTCTAATAAACAGAGAAATTGGTCAAAAGTAATCTACTTAAGCGCGAAATTAGGAAATTAGAGTGAGGAAGAAAGAAATCAGGATAAGAAATACATGCCTTCGCTCGATTTCAGCTCACTGTTCACTTCAGACGGACGAATTAGGGTCGGCGAAGAAGTAGTGGTTGCGGCGGCGAAGGATTTGTCGAATTTTGAGGGTCGACAAAGATTTTGTCGAAGATGGTTAGGTTTTAGGGAAATTTCGATAAAAGGGGGAAATTGTCTACGTGTTTTCGATAAAGGGAAAAATGGCGCATAAGTGTTTTTTTTTGTCTAAGTATTGGCGGATTATCAAAATTTGGTTCCCGCTTATTATAATTTTATTTCAGCATTGTTTAAGTGCTATTATAAGTTTCAGAACTTACAAACGTATCTTCAATAGCAGTTTTGCAATTCGTGCTATTACGATATGCTATTAATGTGCAATTTTTTTGTAGTGTAAACCCAGATTTTAAAAACAATAATTAATTTTCCCTTTCTGTTTTATTTTGTATTTTTCTGTATTATGAAAGATATAAAACATTAGAATGAATTCTAATTTTATTTAATCATTGTTTTAAGACCCATTATGCTATACTTTATTTATTAAACAAGAAACTTTACAAATAACCTTTATAAAAATTTAAAAAAAAAAATAGAAATCTACTTAGATATCCATTCACAAAATATGATGTGGATGATGCATGATGGACATATAACATGGACACGATTGCATGTATATGTTGTCATTCATATATTCGACATGGATATGCATTTGACATTGTCCATAACCTATCCACATTATCATGTTCATCTTTTAAGCCATTTACTAGCTCTACCAGTGAGAGAGAATGGAAACAGGACGCACATATGGTAGTCTGTATTTCTCATTATGGTTGAACACAGTTCTTCAAAAAAATTTAAATGATCTATTGGGTGTTCTGTAAGAAAACCATTGTACTTTTTGAGATAGCTAATCTATTGTATCTTAGCTTCAGAGTCGCCATCCTTAGGCAAAGGTGGTCTAATTGCTTGCCTATCTGCAAAGAGTTTGTGGGCTGCGTCGCATTCTCTAATCAGTTGTCCTCCCTTCTTGGCATATTTTGGTTCTCCAATCGCTTCATTGCCATCATTGATTGGATCACTAAGCTCGTCATCAGATGGATCACCATCTAGAAAAGGGTGCTCCCAGCGAGAAGATCGAAATATGTTCCCGACCCCTCATCGAAAAAGTACCTAAAAAAATCAAAGAAAAATAAAAATTAGAAAGAGTTCTATAGAACTAGGCAGAGATTCGCAATGAAAAGAATCAAAATCCCCGGCAACGGCGCCAAAAATTTGATGCTAAGAGAATCAAGGGTTACTTCTAGTTTCACGTTTTAAATTTATAACCCTAAATATCAGCAAGTGCACAGATGTACGCTGTAGTATTTAGGGGTCAAACCATAGAGATTTTGAGATTTCAATACGAATCAATCAAAACTTTAGACTAGTAGAACAAGCAAAATGGGGATTTTTGGTTTTGGTATCACTAAATCTAAATGCAAATGAAATGAAAAGGCTGTAAAACAATAAGAACTAAACGCTGGGTCTAAAGGATTTCCGCTGGGGTTCATGAACTGATCAAAAGATAAACAAATCGATAAAGGTAATCATCTAGTGAGGATCCCAAACTCGAATAGGCGCGTGTATGATTAGCCAACTCTCGCAACCCTAATCAACAAATCACTCAACTCGGCAATTAACTCTCGCTCTCATGCCGCGAATAAGATCATGCATTAAAAACAGAATTCGTCCACGCTCGCGATTCTTTATAGGTAACTTTCTTCTTCTACAGCGACTTCGCTCGATCACTTCTAGGTCTGGTAATTCGATACAACACTCTCGTGGCTCCAATTACTGAGATCGGTTTCTAAGCAGCTAGCAACAGAAACAGCATAGGGAACAAGAATGAACGAAAGACTCCTAGAAGATTAATAACCCTAAATCAAACAAAGCATATGATCAAGACATGAAATTCCATTTGAAAAATCTCTTGAAAACCCAACTGGGAAATTACTCAGACATAGTTGAGCTCAACATCACAAAAGTATTTAGAATTGCAGAGAATCGAAATAGACAAAGGTTAGAAACGAAGAAAAAAATGAAGCAGGAGGGCCGATGGTGCCCCTCTCGGTGGCTCCTCTTTACGGCGAGTCTCTCTCTCTCTCTAGGGTTCCTGGCAAAATGTGGCACACCCTTCTAAATAACTTAAAAGAGGTTTATATAGTGTCTTGAGACCTCAGGAACGCCTAGGGCTTGCAGGAATAATGATGGGAATGAATTGGGATTTAAAATAGGCTTTTGAGGCTCGGAAATAAGCTCCTCGTGGTCTATAATGTCGCACCCCCGGCAGATGATTTTTGACCGCGGGTGAGCTTCCGACTGTGTTGATTTGCTTTCAGTGCATCGACCATATCTGGAGATCTAACCGTTGGATTGCTCTGATTCCACTTGCATTGGAACGCTGGTTGTCTCTTCTATATTTTGTAAACATTTGGGGATGATCGGACGGTGGGAAAGCCTCCATTGTTTCCCAAACTTCCGACGGTCCAAATTTATCCAAAGTTGTGCTTTTTGCTTTCAAGTGCATTCTTTTGTGAAAATATCCTGAAAACTCTTTTGAAACTCTAAAACATGGAAATCACTTAAAAACCTTTAATACTGAGTGAAAACACTTGCATAAAGACATTGAAAGTGATCCATAAAAGTGGTCAAAATCAGGTGTTATCAGCAGTACGTTCCAAGCCTCTTTAGCTGTCTCACAACCCTATATCAGTTTGATGGTTTCTGCTTATATACTGCAATGAATGGCCATCAACACCTTTGATTTTTACTTGTACTTCTTGCTTTCATCATCGATCCATTCTTCTATTGACATGGGCTCGTCAGCTCCTGCGGCACTTTTCTTCTTTGGTTATTCCCACTTGACCAGAACCACCTTCCACGCCAAGGGATCAATCTCTCTGATGAGTAAGCGCATCCTCGCTTTCCAGAATCTTTCACAAGTTCTTGATAGCTCTCCATCTCCTCAGGATCTCACTTGTTTACAAATTACAGATGACCGCTATGATACCAATTGTAAATGCAAGAGCCGGAATATCAAGAACAAAGACACAACTTAACACAGAGTTTTTTTACTTGAAACTTTATTACTAGTAAATCTGTTAATCAAATCATACAAGTTTTCATAACACGATTTAAGACAGACTCAAGACACACCTTGATCTGTTGCACTAGTCTTCCATGTTCTTCGATCTGTACTTGATCTCAGAACTCTCCTAGAAAACCAATTAACCCTTGATGCAAACTCTGATACACGAATCTCTCAGCAGTGCTCTCTAGTAATTGTGTTAAGAACATATAATGCTTCAACACCGTCTACTTATACCTAGTAGACTATGCGGTTCTACATGCCAAAACTCTACACCCCAGATCCCTTTTCTTGATCTTGGTGTATATTTGTTATTTCCTTAAACTTTCTCATGTTTAAGGAAATCTTTCATTCTTCTCGATCCACTCTGCTACGCTCGTCCAGCTCCGCTCTCTTCCAAAGTTTTCATTCCTATTGGTCCAGCTCAGCTACAAGTCCAGCGCCACATTCTCCTGCGTTCCAATGATAAATTGATCCGCATTCCAAGCTCGTGTTACTTCGTGCTCCAGTTCCACTGACACCGCAATCCACTCTCAATAGATGCTGCCAGGTATGAAAAGGTGTCTACTTCAGATGCAGCTACATCTTCATTCCAAGCTCGAGAGAAAGAAAGAAGATTTCGAGATATCAAAGATTCACGGTGGAATAGCACGAGAATCAATTAATGAAATCAAGAAATTGATTAACCGGGAGAATCTCCGAGTTAATCTAGGTCAAAAAGAGAAGCAGAAGAACGAAAAAGAAGGGAATCGATTGAGTTTTTGAGCTCAAAAGCTCTGATACCATGTTAGTGGAATTGAATCGAGAGGAAGAAGATGAAGAAAT